AAGGTATTGCATTAATACTCATTAATAAGTTGAGATGTAGTATTAATGCTGTTGTTAAAACTAAAAAACAACCGATAATTCTCATAGTACTGTGAGAAATAGTGTTAATACTGTCATTAATAACTTTAATGCTAACAATGTAGTAAGATGTATTATTAATACTCTCATTAAGTGTATGTATATCATTACTACTGTCTTTAATAATAATATCAACAGATAATACTGATAACACAGTGAGATATAGCATTAATACTGACATTTAATAGCTTTAATACTGACAATATAATAAGATGTAGCATTAAAACTCATTAATATTTTGGGGTATAGCATTAGTACTGTAACAACAGATAAAACTGAGATATAGCATTAACACTGTCACTAATAACTCTAATACTGACAATATAGTAAGGTGTAGCTAGCATTAATACTCTAATTAATATTTTGAGGTATATAATTAATACCGTGTTTAATAATATCAACAGATGATACTGATAACACAGTGAGATATAGCATTGATATTGTCATTAATAACTTTCATGCTGATAATTCAGTAAGGTATAGCATTAATACTCATTAATAAGTTGAGATGTAGTATTAATGCTGTTGTTAAAACTAAAAAAAACAATGGATAATTCTCATAGTACTGTGAGAAATAGTGTTAATACTGTCATTAATAACTTTAATGCTAACAATGTAGTAAGACATATTATTAATACTCTCATTAGGTGTATGTATATCATTACTACTGTCTTTAATAATAATAACAAAAACAGATAATACTGATAACACGGTGAGATATGGCATTAATACTGACATTAATATCTTTAACGTTGAAAATATAGTAAGGTGTAACAATAATACTCTAATAGTTTGAGGTATAGCATTAATACTGGCTTTAAAAACAACAACAGATAATACTGATATTATAGTGATATATACAGTAGCATTAATACTCTTAATTAATAACTTTAATGCTGACAATACAGTCTGAGCAATGAGAAAACATTACTGTGTTAATAACAAATAATATTTCATGCAAGAAGTTCATTTCCTTCTCTCTTCATAAAAAAACAACAACAACTTTCATTTATTCAGGTTTTGTCTCCATATAGTTGACTTCTTTGGTGCTCTTTGGTTTTGAATGTACTAATTTTAGTTTCAATGCAGCTTTATAAAGCTCTAAAGCAGAGGTGTCCAAACTGGGTCCTGGAGGGCTAATGCCTTGGGTATTTTAGTTCCAAACCCAATCAAACACACCTGAACCAGCAAGCTCTTTCTAGGTTTACAAAATCTTCCAGGCAGGTGTGTTAAAGCAGGGATTCTCAACTGATTTGGCCATGGGACCCACATTTTTACATGGTCATCAAGCCGTGACCCAAATTTTTAGGAACTATAATTCAATTTTAGGATTTATAATTTATTTGTATTTATTTGTTAACATACACAAGTAGTGACAGATCAATCATAAGAAGATCACAAAGACTTACAAATAAACAATGTTTATTGCTGTCATTTAACAAAATGCATCAAATTATAGAAATATTACAAAGTTAAAACGACAAATACTGTAAACAGTGGTTAGGGTAAGGATAGGTTTAGTTACCATGAACTAAACTGAACTGTTTATAAAACATGTTGTCTGGTTTCTAAATGGCATTTTAATTTAGAAGGTTTCATGCTCTCTTGTGAGAGCACCTCGCTACTTATGACACACTGAGGCTTTAAGTCTTTTTTGTCGTCAATATATGTAAATCCATACTTTACAAATTCCGGGTCATACTTGCGCTTCGACATATTTGTTGCTATAATTAAATAAAATTTCACATGTAAAACAGTAAACAATAGGGTGGTCGTGCACGCATTTCAAAATAAAAGTCAAAATGAGTTAAAAATTAAACTTTTGTTGTTTTTTTGACCACACACTCCACGACCCACTGAAAATTCTGTGGGTCAAACCACCAGTTGAGAAACACTGTGTTAAAGGAAGTTGGAGCTAAACTAGGCAGGCCATCCAGGACCGAGTTTGGCCACGCCTGCTCTAAAGGATCCCAGATGAGGTATAAAGAGTCGTACTTAGTGAAATAATTGGTAATCTTCTTAATTTTTTTAACAACGAAAACTTGCATCTCAGACTTGCATCCCATTTTAGCTTTTGTGTATTAAAAAAATAAAATAAAATAAATAAATAAATAATATATATATATATATATATATATATATATATATATATATATATATATATATATATATATATATATATATATATATATATATATATATATATATATATATATATATATATATATATATATATATATATATATATATATATATATATATATATATATATATATATATATATATATATATATATATATATATATATATATATATATATATATATATATATATATATATATATATATATATATATATAGAGAGATATATATATATATATATATATATATATATATATATATATATATATATATATATATATATATATATAGATATATATATATATATATATATATATATATATATATATATATATACATATATATATATATATATATATATATATATATATATATATATATATATATAGATATATACATATATATATATATATATATATATATATAGATAGATATATATATATATATATATATATAGATATATATATATATATATATATATATATATATATATATATATATATACATATATATATATATATATATATATAT